AAAATAGAATGGTTGATCTTAATAACCGTTTTGTATGTAAATAGCTAAAGAACGAGTAAAAAACCCCACCGTTCTCTATTCTTTATACTCCAAGCTATGATGTAATCTATAATATAATTGTAGAGCAGATCAATGAGGAGCCTCCAAAACCCCAACCAAGCCTCCTCATTCACTCCCGCCTAATTACCCTAATCCCCCCAATTTCCCATTAACCAATCTAATTTCAATTTAAATTTCAAAATAAAAGAAAAAAACAAAAAAAATAACTAATTGCGTGTAGCATACTATCACAATCACCATAAAATGAGAACAGCTGCAAAACTATTCTATTTTAATCCCCCCAATTTCCCATTAACCAATCTAATTTAAATCTAAATTCCAAAAAAAAAATACAAACATCTAACTAATTGCGTGTAGCATACTATCACAATCACCATAAAATAAGAAGAACTGCAAAACTACTCTATTTTCCATGTACATCTTCAATTTTTAATTTGGGATTTTATACGTTGATCAAATTAAAATACAAGAGGTCAGTTTCCTCTTTCACTATTCTTTTCAATATTCTTTACTACTACTATTTCTTAGATTTTCCACCTTTGCTTTTGAAGCTAATTGGGTGATTACCAAAAACAAATTTTTTTGTTTCATTAAGGAGGCTTTTAGTTGCCCAATATTGGAAAATATACGAATCTGATACTGCTACATTACTACATATTTGTCGTATTTTTCGTATGATTACAACAGTCTAATAGTCCAACTTTGATGTATAAAAGATATGGGAATAAATTCAAGTTCCTTAATTATATGGTTACTTTGATGCAAATAGATAGGAACACGTTCTTGATGATGAACGTGGGTAAGAGGTTTGACCTGAATGTTGAGATTATTACTTGGATGAAATAATATTTTGTTTAAACGGAAATTCAAAAAAAAAAAAAAAAAAAAAAAAAAAAAAAAAAAAAAAAAACTACTCTACCTAACTCAATGCGTTCATCAATTTACACTCCACTTTCCCTATACATTCTATAAAGAAAAACTTTGACAGACTAAGGTTAGCCTTCTTTTATATTTCATCGATTACAATTATATACTACTCCGTATCTTAAAAAAACAAAAAATGAGGTAGTACACAAATATTTCGTAGTACACAAATAATTGTACTGATTATATTTTTTTAAGATTCCTACAATTCATTTTATGTTGTATTGTTTTTACAGAGTAATATTGTTTTGATCCTACCAAGTGGGTGCTTCGTAAAAGTTCGTGAGACAATTGGAAAATACAAGGTATATTAGTTATTGATGATTATTTGTTGTATAAAAAGGAATTTTGATGCATACAATTTTATCTTAACACACCATTGCAACCTTTTTTATTTTATCTTTATAAAATTCTATTTTTATCTCTTTTGCTACTAATGATCGTACAATTTTTTTTTAGCATGAGTATTATTTAAAGCCACCACAAGATTGAAAAGACATGAGTATTATCAACCGCGTAAATACGTTGATCAATAGAGTTATAGAAATCAGAAATAACTGTAAGTTTGAGGTAGTTTTATCTTATAAAAAAACGGTTTCGTTAATTGGGCTAAACTTTTTTTTCTTTTTCATTTAATTTTGTTAGCTCAGATTTTTTGTTTTTTTTTTTTTCCAAATTAAAAATTCTATCCTTATCTCTTTTACTAATCATGATCAATATATTATATTTCAACTATAAGCACGTACTTTTTTTCTTTTTCGTGTTTTTTTTTTCTTTAATTTTTGTTAAATTAGTATCAATTTTAAAAAGATTCATTTTAAAGGTAACTGTTAGTTTAAGTTTAGATTTTTTTTTTCTTAGGAATACTCATTTACCAACTACTAACCTATCAAATTAAACTTATCTAAAACTCACTACTTATAATTTCAAATTCACTAATTATACTTTCAAATTAAAAAAAAAAAAAAAAAAAAAAAAAAAGAACAACAAAAAAAATAAATAATAACATAATACACTACATGCAACTACCTCAACAAGTCATCATCATTCAACTCCACTTTCATTAGCACATCCCACACATACACTATTCCCTTAACTACACATAACTTAAGAAAGCTTAGATCGCTACGATAGTATTAAATATCCGTACTTAACCGCAAAAACAACAAAATTTGGGATATAGCACATTGTTGTATTGGATTGTATGTTTTCAGATTTGGTAAGCAATCATCTTTGCTTTAAAAATTATTTTATTAAAGTACTTATAACTACTTTGATTCCGTTTTTTATGGTTTTAAATTTGATTTTTCAGGGTAATATTGGTTTGATCACTACCAACTGGGAGTGCTGAGGCAATTAAAAAACAAAAGGTTTTTAATTTTGGTTTTTATTTTTAAGACTAAATAAGTAATTGTAAATGTATGATTAATCTTTTATATAAGATTTCAATTATATATTAGATATGTTAGCGCATATCATTTTTATGAGCTTACAAAATTTGGGATTTTGCTTATAAACATTCAAACAAACGTGCATATCTATTTAATTTACAAAGTTCTATTTTTTTTTTAATTTTTTTAAAAACAAGATGATGAACATGCCTCAAATGCTGCCAAAAAAGTATATACTATCAACCATCAAATCTAGAAAAAAATAATAACTCACTATTGCTTCACATAATCCGTATAAATCACAAATACACAAATCTTTGGCAAAATGCTTACAATCCATGCAAGCTCATGTCCAAAATAGATTATATGCAAACCTTTATTTAACATAATTTTATTATTACTTTATAGATATCGAATTGGTGATAATATACCTACAATTATACATGTCGCAATTATACTTCGCCACGTGTTCGAATAATCTTTTTATTTGTACTTTCTTAAAAAAAATGGATATCTACACTATTTATCAATATCTTTAACCTTAATTCAAAAGGGAAACAAAGTCTATACAATATGTAGATTAATTATTCTTAAAGTTAATCATTTTGACACTTAGTCATCCGATTAATCCACATAGCCATACAATGATACCTAAAAAGTAAGCATGCATTCCTATTAAAAACTATACTAATAGATAAATTTCGATAATAGGTTGCATTCCTTTATATTTTTTTTAATTAATAAAATGAAAATTGAGTTGTGGTTAGAGATGGTTCATTAAATTGTTTATTTTTAATGAAATGAAAATGGATTTGTAGCTGGAGATGGTTCATTAGTTTTTTTTTTATTACTCTATTTTTTTTTTACAATACATAAATCACTTTGTTCACTGCTTTTCGCCTTCATTTTAAATTACTACACCCTACAGGCATGTAAACATTAGTTTCTTTTACTTTTGGTAGTATAAATGAGCATGTATATACTTATGTAAATTGAGACTTTTATCTGCAATAGAGCGACATGCTATTAATTTGTTGTTACACTGCATCATACACATATATACATAATTTTTATATTAACCTTATAGTTTAAGATTTATGTTAATAGTTTTTATACATTGTTTTATCACTAAGAAAAACCAAATATAAATCTATTTATAAGTTCATAGGTGGCAAGATTAGATTTTCTTTCATTTGAAAACCAAATATAAATATAAGTCACCAATTAGACAAAAATAAAACATGTCAATTTTACCACAGAAAACTACATTGTCACAACTTCATTATATCAATTGAAGTTCTAATATCGGTTCTAATACATTTAATTCTTGGTTATTTTATAACTAATGATTAGAATGGACATAAGTACAAGTAATTATCGATTCAGAGAGAATTTGCAACACAAACATGCTAGATTAGCTGCTAGGCGAAGGTTACTATTCAAACGCACTGCAAACCATGAAGACCCTATTTTCAAGCGACGTCGTTACTTATTGGAGAAAGAAGCACGATATTTGCGATTATTAATGCTGCAATTACGACGATCTACACATCAATATCACCATGGTAGAGGTAACCACCTTGCCAAGCCACTTAATCATACACATTATTGATATCAAGATTGTTAGTTGATAATCATTTGAATAAATCATTTGTATGCACAATTGACTCATCAATATGAGTTTGATAAACGTTGGGAGTTTGGACCTAGAACAGTTGTGTGTCCTAATTGCAAGGCCCTTATGTGGATAGAAGAAAGGGTAAAGGGTAGCAGTAAAACACACTCAAGGTTCTATCATTGTTGTCAAAGTGGCAAGTTAAATTTCCACTTTTACCTTTGACACCGCCATATTTGATGTCAATTTTGCCATATCAACAATTTCAAAACAATATTAGAGCTTTCAATTCTATGTTAGCTTTCACCTCTATGGGCAGTCGGATTGATAACATAGTTAATGATGGTAGAGGCCCCTATGTCTATCGTATAAGTGGTAGTAATTACCATAGAATTGGAACTTTACTCCCTGAGCTTGGAACTAGACCAAAGTTTGCACAGTTGTACATTTATGACACTGATAACGAAACATCCAACCGGCTACAATACATGGGGGCCATAGAGGCTTCTTCCTTAGATCCAAGAATTTTACAAGGACTACAAACGATGCTTGATGATATAAATCCATATGTTGTAGTCTTTAGAAATGCTGGCAGTATGTTGCGCGATCAAGGGGAGCATCAATATTTGAGAATAAAGCTAATTCGCGCAAGAGAAGGCAGACAATACATCCAACCAACTGCAAGTGAAGTGGCTGCATTGATGGTGGGTGATGGGACTGAAGACATAGGTAATCAAGATATCATATTGCAAAAAGTAGATGGTGAGTTACAAAGGATTGATGAAACTCATCCAAGTTATATGCCTTTAAAATGCCCACTGTTGTTCCCATATGGTACCGATGGATGGAGAGTTGGGATACCTAAGGCGTCAAGTAGAAGTACCAGTCGAACTACTGTGACAATGCGACAATTCTATGCAATTTAGATACATGGTAGGGAAGAAGAGAGTGACACCTTGATTGATTCTGGCCGCTTATTGCAACAATTTGATGTTGATGCATACGCTGCAATGGAACAATATAGATTATCATGGATAAGGAGAAATCAAGGCAGGCTTCGCTCTGATTTATACAGTGGACTCCAAGATGCAATCAGGGCTGGAGATGTCAATGCTACTGATGTAGGTCGATTATTCATATTACCATCATCCTTCACACAAAGCCCCCGTAATATGGCCCATCATTATCAAGATGCTACGGCAATTGTTCGCGTTTTGGTTCCACCTGATTTATTTATAACTTTCACTTGCAATTCAAACTGGCCTGAGATTGTAAATGAGAAATCTACACGTGGAAGTTGTCGCACTGAAGATAGACCAGACATTGTAGCACGTGTTTTCAAGATCAAATTGAAACAAATGCTTCGCAATTTGAAGGATAACAAGAAGTTTGGAAAAGTCATTGCTAGTGAGTTGTGTTAATTAATTATGCAATCGTACTATATTTTTTGACATATCTAATTAATTAACATGGGATATATTTCATGTTTCAGATTTTTATGTCATTGAATTTCAAAATCGCAGACTTCCACATGCGCATATTCTCATAACATTGGCTCCAGAAGATAAGCCTAAGTGTCCAGATGATATCGATGTAATTATTTCTGCGGAAATCCCTGACAAGGATACAGATCCTTTGGCATTTGAAACAATTACCAAGAACATGCTCCATGGACCATGTGGGCCATGTTTAATCGATGGAAAGTGTTCAAAGCATTTTCCGAAGAAATTTTGTGCTGAAACCACATTTCATGATAATGGCTTTGTGCAGTATAGACGTAGACAAAATAGAGAGCCTATCATTGTTAATGGAAGGGCGGTAGATAATCGTTGGGTGGTACCATATAACAGAGATCTATGTGTTAAGTACAATGCACACAATAATGTTGAGCGTGTTTCTGCGAAAGTGTGGTAAAGTATCTATACAAGTATGTTACTAAAGGTCAATGTCGAGCAACAGTTGTCATTGAAAACAACTCAACCACACGACGTGATCAAGAGGCACGGCAAGGAAATAGAGTGGATGAGATAAAACAATGCTTAGATTGTCGATATGTGTCGGCCATTGAAGCATGCTGGAGAATATTTGAGTTTGATTTGCAACATCAATATCCTTCAACAGAACTGCTTCAGTTTCATCTACCTAGTGAACAATTTGTAGTTTTCAATGATAATGATGATCTGCACACAGTCCTTGAATGACCGAGATTGCAACAAACCATGTTAACTATGTGGTTACAAGCTATCAAGGATTTTCCAGAAGCAAAACAATACACTTACCAAAATTTTCCTATGGGATTCACATGGCATCGTTCTACAAAAAGGTGGGCACAACGACAAGAAAGATCTTGCATTGGTAGATTGCCTTTTGTTCATCCGAATTCTGGGGAATGATATTACTTATGGATGCATTTAACTAAGGTTTGTGGAGAGGAATCTTTTGAAGATATACAAACTATTGATGGTGTCATCCACCCTACCTTTAGATCTGCGTGTCATGCCTTAGGGTTGCTTGACGACGATAATGAGTGGCATGAAACTCTGTCAGAAGCCTCTAACTGGGCATTGGATTCACAGTTGAGAAACATGTTTTGCTCCATATTGATGTTTTCAGAAGTAAGTGATCCGAAACAGTTGTGGGAACAACATTGGGGTGAACTTACCGATGACCTCGAGAGAATGATGCGACGTCAAACTAGAAACCCTAAATTACGATTAACTCCTGAAGAGATGCAGAATCAAGGATTGCAAGAGATTGAGCATATATTGAATAAACTTGGAAGGTCATTGACAGATTTCCCTGACATGCCACAACCTTCTTCGGAGTTAGCACGTAATGCCTTAAATCGGTTGATAAGAGATGAACTTGAGTATGACACACATGATGAAGCCAACAGATTTGATACCTTAGTTAGAGGGTTAAACACGGATCAATATAGAGTATATGCTGCAATACTCGATGCTCATTCTCGAGATGTAGGTGGCCTATTTTTTGTCTACAACAGTGGTGGGACTGGAAAGACATACCTGTGGAACACTCTGATTGCGAAATTCAGATCTAAAAGAAAGATCGTGCTCTCTATGGCTTCATCGGGAATTGCTGCTTTGTTATTGTCTGGGGGTAAAACCGCACATTTGACTTTCAAGATTCCTTTTGATCTTGATCAACATTCCATTTGTAACTTCAAAAAAGACTCAACCCGTGCTGATTTATCTGTGAAGCATCATTAATTATATGGGATGAGGCTCCAATGACCCATCGATTAGCATTTAAGGTTGTAAATCGACATTTCAAGGATATTTGTAATGACAATAGAGTTTTCGGAGGTAAATTGGTTGTTCTTGGTGGAGACTTTAGACAAATACTTCCCGTGGTGCCAGATGAAGGACGAGAATCTATTGTTGCAGCTACTTTGCATCGAGCGTCCTTTTGGAGAGACTGCCAAGTTATGTGCCTAAGGATAAACATGCGTTTATGTCGAAGTGACGTTCCTTCCGATACCCTTGAACAAATTCGAGAATTTGCTGATTGGATAATAAAAGTTGGAGAAGGAGTAATAGCAGGAGTGTCCATTACAGAGGAAGGTGAACCAAATTGGATTGAAATATATACCACGTGATTTTTTGATAACCAATGATGAACATGGTTTGAAAAATCTCATTAACTTTGTCTTCCCCAACTTGCCTTCAAATTACACGGATTGGGAGTACCTCAAGGATCGCGGAGTTCTAGCACCAACAAACAATGATGTAGATGAGCTAAATTCGAAAATTTTATCAATGTTACCAGGAAACGTGCAGAGATACTATAGTTCGGACACTTTGGGTCATACAGAAGATGGTGGGATCCTTGATAACATGGAGCCTATGGAATTATTAAACTCATTAAATTTGTCAGGTCTTCCTAATCATTGCTTAGAGTTAAAAGTTGGTGCCCCGGTAATATTGATGCCAAATATGAACCAATCCATAGGGTTGTGCAATGGAACACACCTTATAATCAAGAAATTGGGCTATAGAGTGATTGAGGCACATGTGATCACAGGTTCAAGAGCTACAGAATCAGTTCTAATTCCGCGAATTGATTTAACACCCTCCAACAAGAAGATAGATCTCCCTCTTAAAAGAAGGAAATTTCCATTAAAATTAGCCTTTTCCATGACAATAAATAAAAGCCAAGGACAGACGTTGAGCAAAGTTGGCATTTTTCTCCCTAGGCCCGTGTTTAGTCATGGTCAATTATATGTTGCAATGTCACGAGTTACATCTCCTTCCGGGCTAAAAATCTTAGTACAAAATAAGAAGGATGTTTCTCACAGTTTGACTAAAAATCTATTATATAATTGCAGAGTCACTTCACCGCAACCCTCCAAATCACCAATACTCAAATCCCATGCATTTGAGTTTTTTATTTTTATTTTTTTTTTACAAACCAATAACTACCCAGTACCCATCCCATTATATTATTTATTATTTATTTTTTAACATAAAAAAAAATAAATAAGGATAATAACTACCCATCTCACCCTTTTTTTTTTTTTTTGGATTTTTCAAGGAATTGCAATAATTAATAAAAATTCAATTTTTTTTGTAAACATTACTAACATTTCACTTTGTCTTATTTTCTTTCGCGTATAATACATGTCGTGCATTAGCACGGATACACAATTCATTTATCAACAATTACCATAGCACTCTAAATCCCCAACCCTTCAATTATATGCATATTTTTTGGGGATTGTCCTACAAAACAATTTCCACTTCCTTAATCATCAAAATAAAAATAAAAAATGTACAGCACGCTATTTGCGTGACTGGCCTCACCGAATAGTTACTTGCAAAAGATAAAAAATAGACCTATGACAATAACTACATAACCCCTATAACATAGAACAGGTACCCTTTATAGATTTAACACACCTACACTTCCCTAATCATCAACAAGCTATTTGCACGACTGGCCTCGCAGAATAATTACTTACAAAAGATAAAAAAAAAAATAGACCGTATGATACTTACTAAACCCTATAACACAGAACGGGTAACCTCTATAGATTTACCAAAGTAGCACCCACATATAAGAGTTAGCAATTTACTAATATTTAATAGAGAAGATTTGAATAGATTATTGTAAAGCAGATCAGACCACAACAACTCTAAAAAAACATGGCTTTAGTTACTACATCAAATCAACTTCCGTATTTGAGATATATTTTTTCTTATATTATATATTTAATTATTTCTAATATAAAATATATCCCGTGCATTTTGCACGGGTACACTCTAGTATTGTGTATAAAGAAGTATTAAACAGTGTAAATTAGATATGTATGTAGTTTTGTTATAACATTAACTTAGTAACTATTAGCAATGTTTGTTTTAGTGTTATTTATTAGATTTTTTTTGTCATGTTAATGGTACCATTTTACTTTATTAAAGATTTATTTCATTATCTATACTATTTGTTTAACCTTTATACATGTGCGAGGTTGGATCAATGATTATTATATAGATGTAAATTATTTTTTATGCCCATGCCACTTCAATAATGTTAAAATGCAGGAAATGAACACGAGATACACACCATGTCGTTGTGTTACCCTTACGACATTGAATGTGAATATGAGAGTGCGTTTATTATGGATGGTCACTGAACAAAGTAGAGCTAAAGGTACAAATTATGTCCATCGTTCATGGAGTATGGTATTCACCGACTCAGAGGTTTGAACTATATTTTTACTTAGTACTTACTTTTTTTTCGATTTATTCATTTATTTCACACTCATGTTTCTCATTTTCAATTTCTAGGGGAACGAAGTTCAAATTACATTATTTAATGCTGACATTGATAAATATAAAGAGAACTTGAAACGAGGAAAGGTCTATTCAATTGCTCAGCTAGAGCTTATGCCTCTAGATACATCTTACAAATATGCCACTAACCAAATGAGGTTGAAATTTGGCAACAAGACCATGATAACAGAAATTCTTGATGATTGTGATGATATCCCAAGGTACAATTTTAGGTTTATTGAATTTTGCAACATTCCACAGTACCTTCACATGCGCAATTCTCCTCTCATCGGTATGTGTCTTTCAGTTTTAAAATAAATAGTATGAATATTTATTGCATTTTTTTACATTAATTATTGAGTTTTAATGGTCATATCCGATCTTTTTTTTCTTGATGATGAATGTACACAGATGTTATTGGATTGGTTATATATGTGTCTGAATCATATAGAGTCTCGGGTGGGAGACAACAATTCAAAAGAGATGTCTTACTCTGCAACACAAAGTAAGAGCATATTACAAAAGTTACAATATGTTTATGTAATTATAATAACTTATGCAATGTTAAGTTTTATTTTTCTTTTTTATTAAAAAAATAAAATTCTAGTGACATATTTTGATTTATAGCATGGAAACAATGAGGCTAACTTTATGGGAAGTGTTTGCTCATGATCAAGGTCGTTTCTTATTCTATGAGCTTAATCAGGATCATGTGTTGGGTGCATCCATGGTATCAGTTGGCTCCTATTATGGTAAAATAAGTTTTTTAAAATTATCTAACCATAGAAAGACTATGGTGTCATTTTTATTATTATCATTACTTTGAATAACTTTTACTAACCTTCTAATAGGTGCATGTCTTTCGACTGTTGGACGTACCAGACTATTTATTGATCCTGATATCAATGAAACTGATGATCTACATGGCTGGTAAGCCTAAAAACATTATAATATATAATGTAAGTTTATGTTGCATACTTATGTACTTATATAACTCATATTGGAATGCGGATGATGGATATGTCCAAAAACATATCACCTGGAGTCAGTTATTAGCCAATAGTATCTCTGAAATGGAAATGGTGTTTAATGCAAAAAGGATCAAGTTAAATCAATTTTGAG